GTGAACTTGTATTCATGTCTAGCAAAGGTTTCTGCAGCTGTCTGTGAAGATTCTCAGTCATCCAGGTCATTAGTTATCCATGGAAGGTTAAAGGTCCAGTGTAATATTTAGATTAGAAGATCTATTAACAGAAAGACAAGATAATATCCATAACTATACACTGTTTTCAACGGTGTATAAAGACCTTACATAGTGAACCGTAATATTTTTATTACTTAGAATGAGTCATTTCTATCTACATACACTGAGGGTCCCCTCACATGGACATCGCTATGTTGCACGGCCATGTTTCTACAGTAGCCCAAATGGTCAAACAGCGCAACAGAGCGCATTTCACTACATTGCATACGTACAAAGAAGAAGAACAACAACAAGTAACGTTAGTAGTAGTAGAAGTCGGCTGGTTTATTAGAAGTAAGAAAATAAGGGAAATTTGGACAAATAGAGGCGCACACTTGTTATTTAGGACACAGCGTGTTGGCCTCCAATTGCCCTTACTTTAACCTTCCTTGGATTGAACTACAGCACTTTTTTTTGATTGCAGGCTGAAAAATCAAGCGCGGTGGGGAGATGATCCATGTTTAAAGACAAAAGTAATCATTGGGTTAAATGAGGCTATAGTATGTGTTCAGCATCCTGAGTACAGGGTAGAGATTCAATTTATACACAAAGTCACGAACTTAATCCAGACATTCTTTGTTTGCACAGTTATGGTGAGGTACTTTACTATTGCAGTCGAGTCCCCAGACAGATAAAAATGGTGGGTGTGTCTGCTCTGTTAAGTACAGATATGGATGTTTGTTCGCAAGTGAACATCTTACTTGTGTTGTTTTGTGTCTGAATCTCCTGAAAACATGTTTAAGACTTCATTCAAAAGCATCACTTTGGTTCTAAGTACAGGATCTCTCGTTATATTGGCAGCCACAACAGGCATAAAGATATCATAAAAATAGCAGAATAAGTTCTGTGAGGTAGCACACATCACACTGAAAAGGAAAAAAAGGTAAAGGTCAAAAAAGTAATAAATACTTGAACATACAATTTAATAAACAAAACATTTACAATACATACAATACATTTTTTGGACATGCTGTTCTCAAGCTGTCCAAAATCACACCTGAGGTAGACTTGTATAGATTTTTGACAAGACGAATTCTGTCTTGGTCACACATAAGAAGCAATACAAACAAGACACTGGGATCTAGGCAAGATTAGCGCATTATGGATAGTAGATTAGACCCAATTGTACTGTACCATAGTGAGCATTATGGTGAACTCAAGTACACATAATAAGCATAATGATCCTTAATGGTGATCAATACAGATGCTTTTAAACATCCTTTGTGCTGTGCAATCAGTGGGCTCAGACGCCAGTCCCATTTTACATGACAAAGCTAATCTAGTATTTTACTCATTATCATGCAGACACATCATGAATATTATATTAATATGTGAAAAAGACGATGGATATGTACATATAACAACATCACGGTGACTTTGAAAATATAGTCCCATGCTTGCTTTGACTTAAGGAAAATGTCAATCGACATCTGCTGTTTCATCTCTGAACATTTAAAAGTATGTCAGCGCGAATGCTAAAGAAATTTTTAACAGGTTGACTTAACTCATCATATAGAAATGTAAAGTACCCATGGCTGTTCATACACTTTTATGTTTCTTACATTTCCCTGAATGTCTTCTGTCTAATGAAAGGCATACACTTAAAGGTCTAGGTCACAATTTAGACAAATATGCATATGTTTGCTTTTTTCCTAAAGTGATATAAAAAGACTAGCTGTTGAACAGAAATGCCGGTATTTAATTTCTGGATTAACAGTAACTTAGCTGTCTGCACAGCGACTCTGGGAAGCTGCACAGTTTTTACTTTTCTGTTGAGCTAGCTGTTTCCTCCTGCTCCCAAGCTTTATGCTAAGCTAGGCCAAACACATCTTGGCTCCGGCTGCGTACTTGATGTACAGGCATGAGATTGATATCAATCTTTTTATCACACTCTTCCAGCGTAAACTATTTGAAAGCCTGAGAAAAACAGTGCTAAAGTCTAGTTAGCTAGCTATCTGGCTAATCTAGCAAATCTGAGCTAGTTTAGAAGCTAAAGCCATGTGGATGTCTTGGTGTAGGCTAGGTGACATGTTTAGGCAACACAATAGCAATTTATACACTTTGAAATACTTCAGCTACCAGACAAAACAATAAAACCTGCTACTTTCCTCTACAGCTATTGTTTTATGTTGCAGAAAAACATTTCTGCTTTCACACTGTATTGTAGCTAAAAATCTAATGACATCACACTCTCCAGCCCGTCCTCACCAGAAAAACTTCCATATAGGTTGATTTTTCAGCAGCATCAATTGCTCATTTGACAGTTGATGCCCTAGGTCTTCTGGCACTGCAAGACAGTAAATAACTTAAACATGAAGACACATTCTAAAAGCAAGTAGATTTTTAAAAGTTCTCCCAAAGCTCAAAATGAAGATAGATTTGTCAAAATGTGTCAAGAAAGTTGTGACATACTGCACAGCATGTGCTTTGCTGAAATGACTTATATTGGTAATGTGGTAGAAAGATATTTCTGAATCACAGAAGCTGTCAAATGTTCAGTCTGCCCTTCAGGGAGAACAACTCTGAATAACTAGTTAATATAAAAAGATAGTATCTATATAAATTTAGTCCCTTCACCAAAATGAGTGAAGGCAAAAACCAATACGATTCTACATCGCACCTCCTTCCTTCAGCTTCACCTAAAAGTACAAGAAGTTAGCAAATATTGTCAATGTGAAGAAATCCCTGATATATATGTGTGTGAACATTCTCTTCGGATTAATACTGTTTTGCAGACAATGTCTGCCATACATTCAATACTGGTCTTGCATATAAATTTAAATAATGAAATGGCAACTTTGTAATTAAGACTTTACCATTAATGGAAAAAGTAGAATTAATTTTCACAGGTATGTGTTTGGTGAAATAATATTGTTTTTAGTGGAATATGACAGCAGCTCTCATCAATTCCATTGGAAAGCGGATGTTACGGCACTTATGTTTTGACATTCACTTTTCACTGTAATCCCTGAAAATTTTTAGCATAAAGGCAGACACAAATACTTTTAGCAAAATATTTGGCAGTCCAGGATATGTTTTTTCTGTTACATTCACATACTAGATTGTTTACCTAATGTTTAAAGTTTAGTAGTTGTAGTAAACGTAATACTTTGAGCAAAAGTTGTAAAGTTATGAGAATGTAGTCATCATTTTGAATACAAGTCTAAATTGTCTTAGTCTTAATTTTATGAGAAAAAGTTTTCATTTTACAAGAAAATAAATCAGAAAATTATGATAATAAAGTCAAAACTGTACCAGAAAATAGACATGATATTATGAGAATAAAGAGATGTTTACTTCAACTATATACTTTGCTACACTTATCTGTGGAAGCCCTATGAGGCAAAAGAGAAAAAAAATTCTGCAGATCCATTTTTTAAGTCTGATCTAAAATGTTATATTCTCCTGTGTTTATTACTCAAGAACAGGTGAAAAAAGGTTTTGCCAGGATAATTCAATTACTTTTTTCGCCTGTGAAAACAGGCTCATGGATTGTGTATTACCATTTTATGTACTTTGTTTTTAGGGTGCATGGAGAAATTACAACTCACCTGGAAGGAAACTTGAATGCTTTTAGTCCTACTTAGATCCTGGGTATGTTGCGCACTTCAAACTCTTGTGGACGAAATGAGTATCGCAACAACACTTAAAAAATTATCCTGACAAAAAAATGTTTTTCCCTACATGTTTCACAGATTAAAAAATAAATAAATAAAAGGAATTTAGAAAGATTGTCCTAATACACCCTTTTTTCACCTGTTCTCAAGTCAGAAACACTGGAGAGAAAACTATTTAGATTAGACTTTTTTTGTTTTTTATTTGCCTCTCAGGGCTTTCATGCTTCTCAAATGATTTGTATGTTGCATATTAGGCAAACAATAATTCCTAATTTATTCCTCAATCTATTATTATATATCTATTCTGTTTGTAAGGATATTTAATGATCTGATGAACAAGGGTGCCATCATTTCAGAATCATGATAGATCCAAAATATCCCCATTGCTTTTGAAAGATGAAGTGGAACTATTGGAACTAGAGTCTGTATGTCTAAGATATACACTCATAGGCCAAAATTAGGTACATCTTCACAATCTAATGCAATCCAATCAAACTGTCCAGCCATAAAGTCAACATTTTTCATGCCTATAATGTCAACTTTTTTTTGATACTGCCATAGAGGTGTTAATTAAATGACATGTGTAAGCACTGACTTTATAGTTAGTGATGATGTCATACTGCAGTGGTTCTCAATCTTTTGAGTCTGACTTCCCCCCACACCCCTATCAGATAGGCCTAAGTGCCTCTTTATCATACCCCTTTGATAGAAGTATAGTATTTTTTAGTAGTTTGGGTTTGCATTTGTGCTGCTGCCATGTGGACTAACGGAAACTGTGGTTTTAACTATTTACAAACATTTAGTTTTACTTTTGGCTTTTCGTTGTCTAACTAGTCTTTCTGCAGTCTTAATCACTCGACTCCAGTTACTGGAAAACTGAGGGCTGTTTGTGCAGACTACCATTGTTGGTAAATCATTGTGACAATAACTATATTGATCGGAATCACACACACATGTATAATCTTACTTGTGTTTTGATGCTTCTCCCAAACACAAACGTGTGGATCATTTCTATTTTTCAAATGAACTGCGCTTGAACTACCCCTTGGCCTAATGGCCTACATTATTTTCAGACATGTTGCCAATATTCTGCCCACTTCATGTGTGTAAGGAAGGATAAAATATTATAAACACCTCTAAATATGATGAAGTCCAATAAAACACCACTTTTAACTACAACATCCATTTAAATAAACACATTTTCGACAATGTCACCAAAAACGGAATGTCATAAACTTTGTAAAGGTAGATGTTATGACAGGGCTGTTGTATTGGATTGCATTGGATTGTACAGGTGAAACTAAGACACACACAGTGACCACTGAGTGTATTGTACTGTTTTTAAAACAAAAGTTTCATTTGAAGGCAGCATATGAACTAAAATATAAGTACTGGGAGAATTTGAGAGGCACATTCATGCCTTTTTTTACAGCAAATACATTAATTGGTCACAGTAGGAAAAAGACAGGTGAAACTAATACTATTAATGATGGATCACTTCCTATGAAGTGTCCCAATAATGCATGTCAGTATGCAAGTATGCACACCACTGCCTAAACACCCAGCACCTAAATGGAGTGCACCAGTCCTTTTCTTGTTATGACATGTCAAAATGTCTGTGTAAAAAAAAAAAAGGTCTATTATGACTATCATGCAGGTTGTATGGAAACCATGCTGACAGACTTATGTCAGCATGGTCAAATACCTACAAACCTCATATATCAGTCAAGGCTTTTCTGGTGCTTTACAGCACTCAAAACAACTTTACACAAACCCGGTATGTATACAATGCTTTGGAGAGTTGTAAACCAGCAAGATTTTTGGTTTTGAGTTTTGTAAGAAGCTTCAATATACAGAGGCACGTCTCATGTCAGAGCAGTCCAAACAGAGACTGTGGCTACAACACGACTGAATCAACAGTCTGATTGTTTTGTTCCACAGCGAAAACACACACAAAAAAAAACATTTTCAAAGTGGACACGTCTGTCATCACATAAATATGACAGACGTGTCCACAATCAATAAATAAAACCTGAGGTAGCTCTTTCTATAAGCAGTATTCCAGTGAAAAACCTCACAGATTTCCTCCATCATTTACTCTGAGCTTTCAGAGAGCGTGGTCTGGCATTTTTCCTCTTCCTCGTCCCTCAATGAGGTAGATGTTCTCTGAGAGCTTGGAGACAAATGCTGCTGCTGCTGCTGCTGCTGCGCTTTGACCGGACAGTTGGCCACCATGTGGGAAACGCTCTGACAAAAGTGACACCTTTTGGGCTGAGGAGGCAGCTGACACTCCTTGGCATGATGGCCAGGTCCTCCACAGTTGTAGCACCTAAAATGAACAGAGGAGAGGAAATTACCACAGAGGTGCTATTACTGTTTTTCTCAGCTACTTTGGCACAATTGTGAAATGAAAATCATTATTCTTCAAACACTGTGCGCAATTCTCAGTTCATCCACAGTTCATTTTCTCACATTTCATACGTGTCAGTTCAAAACATGTGAATCTTCAGATCCTATTAATACTGAGTTTTTAGTGCATTTAATCACATGTTGTCATGTTGACAGCTGCACCAGTGTTACACCATTCATGAACCACACAAAGAATATTATATCGTTCTTAAACAGTACTTGGAATACACCCACAAGGAACTGCGAGGTGCATGCAATTCACCCCCCACTCACACACACACACACACACACAATTCGATGATCAGTCGACTTTTTCCCTTTTGGTCGAAGCAATGATAAAGGGAGATGTTATTTCGGTGGCAGTGATGCATATCATAAGTAAAAGTAAAGTTAGCCTATTCACTTTTAACACACAAGTTAAATGTGGAAGACAAATGAAGTGTGTAAGATGATGTGGTGATTGCACCAGTGCTTCAAAAAATGGGCTTTAGCAAGCATTGATGATAAATTGCAAACAAAAAGGATTTCAAATGTTATTCATGTTAAATATTAGCACCAACAATAGTAGTAGTACCATATGATTAAATACGCTGTATAAACTGTAAATAAAATAAATGTTTTTTGTTTTTTTTATTATTTGAGTTTTAAAAATTTTTTTTTTACAGTTTTGACAAAATCCCATCTGCAGTGAAATGACATGATTAAATCCTACCACTAGAGGGCAGCACACTCAAGCCTTAGTTTCACATCCCCTCTGTCACCATGTATTACTGCAGTCCCAGTGGTGGGCAGCTGTTAGGGCATTTGGCCAAACTGATCTCAGTCCCTCAAGGGGTTGTATCAGCGGTACTTTGACAACCAATCAAGACAAAAGGGTGGACCTGGGCTTTGCAGCGTGTTTAAAAGCCCCCTGAACTTAAAAAAGGTGCTCCTTCGCTGTGATGTTTGACCGATATTCGCATATTCATAGATTATGGATTTTTGTGCCGTTAAGATTTTTTAACTATTTAACTGAAACTGCAGAAGAGCCATATCAGGCAGAGTCATCAATTATCTTCACACAGGTTCGGAGGACATCTTTAAGTATATGGGCGACATACAATATATTTACTCTGTATTAATCATTTAGATTCACTGGCTTTTTGCATGTGCCTGCCTACAATGTCAATGTGGAGGAGCTTCCCCTTTCCTTCTACTTTCCTCTAAAAGTCATGTTTTGGCCAGGCGATATTCCTCTAATTGTGCTGAAGAGGCTTACTTATGAGCTCTCTTTAAATCTAGATCAGCACTACTGAAAGTCTCAACAATACCAAGTTATTTTTACCACTACTTAGACTCCACAGACTCATGTAACTAAACACACCATTCTGAAACATTGGTTTTTAGTCAGCTTAGGGAGAAATGTACTGGCTCACTTATGTTAAGACACTTCTGCAAACAGTATAGTGCAATTTGCTAGGAATCTGGTGTAAAACAATAACGGGATATGATCATATTTTCATAAAAGGATTTCACTGAAAGTCAGTAACAACATTAAATTCATCATCATACAGCCCTAATTTAGCTATTGACTGGTCCAGGCATGTATGAATCTCCACACAGAACAGTTGTTGCTCAACAAGTCGCTATGTATTATTATCAATAAATCTAAGCAGAGGGAGATCATGATCAGCAGCTAAGTGAAATCCTGTTGGTGAATTCATTAGGGCAGGATAAATAAGGCAAGTGAGGCTCATGCACAGTGCAGTGTGACACAAAGAGACACTGGCCACTTAAACAGGCAGGCAAAAACTATTGATTCTTTGTATACAGACAATCTGGTTTTCTCTGGGCCCTGGATTTTTCCTTTTGCTCTCCATTTGCAGTTGAACAAGACAACCGAGAGAGATCAGTTAAGCAACACTGTCAAATCATACAAACTCTTTTGACTTATTACAACTGCGCTTCGACACTAACAAATGCACTGGTGAACTAGACAAGAGGCGGTTCTATTCTACCATAATGAAACTGAAGGCTGTGTGAAAACGACTTTATTTTTCACCTCAAAATTGATTAGCTGGGTTTCTATAGCGTAAATTTTAACCACATTTCGTGAAAATCAGCAAAGGAAAGTTCAAATGAATATGTGTTTCCATCCACTACTGTTACGCAATAATTAGGAGTCGGTTCTTCGAGATAAATCCACAGCACTTTCACATGTCAGATTTTGCTTTTATCGATAAACCAACTTTTCCAGCTCAGCCAAGCATAAAAACATTTTTGAATTATTTCCACTTACCTATTGATGATATATAACAAAATCTACAAAAATAAACGTTTGAGTTCATTTTAAAACAGCGTTGCCGTTGCATATTTTAATTTACAGCTGTGAAATGTCATGCTCAATACATGGGAGCATCGACCCACATATCAGTATCTGCCTCAAGTCCAGTATGGCTCATTTAATGTTTTAAGTGGATGCATTAATGTTCACTGTAACAAATTACATTTCACAAGCAAGTTCCGTGTCTCTTCATATTGCTTTAATACTGTGCAGCAATAAATGGAAACCAGTGGCTGTGTGGAAGGTAGGAAAAGCCCATTAAATACGACATGCATGGACAGAAGTGTAAATTCACAAACTGACGCTGCTTTCTGTTGAGGAAAATAACTGGGCAATATCTAACATATTGTAAAGGCAAACCACAACTACACACGTTACAATCTTGTTGCCTTTATTAAATGATACAGCTGGTAGTTTTCTATATTTCTCTTGTCAACAAATCCCCTTTAAGAGCAAAACCACAAACCAACCTATTGTTTCCTACTAAAAAAAATAAATGCTGCCGCCTTTTTTTTCCTTTGTCTGTCTGTTATTTGGTGCTGGACAGTTAGCAACACTGGGTTTATCAGAGCTTTTTCATTGAAAGCAGCTGCGGCTGGTGATAGATAATCGGTTGATAATACACTGAACCAAAACAGTAAATGCTGTAAAACCAAAACAATGAACTCAAAGATGTGTTTCCAAGTTAAAACAAGCTGAATGGAGCTGAAGAAGAACTCCTCAGAGCTGTAAAGTTTTTTTTAAAAGGCTCAGTAATTTCCTGGACCAGCTGGTTACTCAAACAGGAGGAAACTGTGCATTTGTTAGGGACTATTTTCAGCGGTGGATTAATCCACATTTGGTGCTCTAGAGACTATTTGGGGCAGCAGGACAGCGTGTGTGGGACTGAGTTGAAATGAACTACAGTGCGTGTGTTCATGGTAATAAGGAACGTGTCACCTAGTGCTAGAGTGTGGCTCTCTGACGTGTTTTTACTAACTGTTGGACAACATTAGAGTTCTATGGCACAGAAGAATATATCTCAGTTCAGATTCACACAATACTTGTTAGTAGATCAGTGAATTGTTAGTTTGGGTCTTTTCATGGAATTTGTTCATGACTTCAGAAAAGTGTAGAATACATGTCCTTAAAAGCAGCAAACCTGAGCCTGTGAGTGACAGAGTGGTGAAACCCAGACTGAGCCCTGAATCATCTCACAGCTAATCGTCCACTTCCTTCCTCCCTTCCCTCCCTCCTCCCAGCCCCCCATCAGGGCTCAGTATTGATCAGCATGGCCACGAGGGTGGGAGAGGGAGCTCCTTTGTTTCAATACTACTGTGACCTCTGAACCCTGACCCCCGCTCGCACACCACCCCTCCTCCCACCCTCCCCTCCACCTCATTTGCACACCACATCCCATTGTGTTGCTGTGGCAACGGTGGCCTCTGACCTCTCTCCGGCACCTACATCTGGTATCAGTTAAATGGACTGGATCCTTTCCTCTTCTGAATACTACATTTATGTTTGGGAATAAAGAGGGAACATGTGAATGCAATCAAACCCATAGCAGGTAAGGGCAGGAAGTTATGGAATGATTTTTATCATTGCCCACCGTGATAAGTGAAGTTCAACTCAGATGCTGTCACATTAATAACCTTGTTGGCTCTTAATGACCTACAATCTGCAAATCACGCACACCCACAATGTTTTCTGACAGGTGCATGCTGGATCTGGCTAACATGCTAACATGCTCACGATGGATTCTCCAATGGTGACTTCTGCCTTCATATTGAAAAGTAAGTAATCTCTAGTAATCTTTCCATCTCTGCAAATAAACAGCTTCCCTGGATCTTACTTGCTTCAAAGACAAACACAGCAATTGCAATGAAATTGTAGTTTCCTCCAGAAGCATTTGCAGGTTCATTAATAGCTGATGAATTTTTGTGTTGCGTAGCAAAGGGGTTGAGCCAAAAATTGTTGGGGGTTGAGGAAGCCTGAAGACAACAAAAAAAGGCCTGCCTCTCCGAAACGAGCCAACTCTATCTCAGCAATTAGATGATAAACTGGAATCACGTGTAAAAGTGATGTCAGCAGGACAGTAAGGAACAGAATAGCAATGTGGTATCTGTTCCACCAGCGTTACATAAATAAAGTTAATAGAATTTTTTAAACTTCTGTACGTAGGGAAGTTCATAAGTTAACTTACGTCACATGACTGACGTGATGTACTAACGTAACTTAAATATTTTAACCCAAACCATGATCTTTGTTTAACCCTAACAAATTAGTTTTGGTGTCTAAACCACACACTGGATAAAAAGTGGATGTAGTCACTGTGACGTCGCACATTGGTTTGTGGACTACCATTTTTTGAAGCCTCGCGTTTATTATTGTTACCATGACAGCAAAGGACCAGTATAACTTCCCTGAGTCTGTCGTCACCATATTAAGGTCGCCAGGTTTGGTGCCATTATTCTTTTACCAAAACCAGAACCTGTGTTTACTCACTGGTACTGGCTCTAAAGCTGGAGGTGCTGCACAAGTGCTGAGCAGATAAATGAACTGTTGTTCATCAAGAAATTGTTCCAGCATGTAACTTCCCATTAAGTAAGAAATAATAAAAAATCTGTGTACATATTAAACAAACAAGATGGGCTATAACATGTTAATTGGTGAGCTTCAGAGGTGATAGCAGGCATATTTTTTACTTTGCTGTTCTGGCAACCTGCACCAATGCCAAAGATACTTCACACAAGTGCTAGGATAAACTCTTGTTTAAGAAAAACAGTTTCAGCGCATAATTCCCCCTAAAATCCCTAATTATCATTTTTACTTTTCTGTATATATCAAAAACAAGATATAACATCTCCATTAGTGAGCTGTGGACAGTCTCAGGTCAGCTTTTTACCCCTGCTTCTAGTCTATCAGCGACAACATCCTGACACTAGGCCGCATTTAATGCAGATTTTTATCGATCTTACTGCCAGAAAGAAAGTTAGTGAGCATTTTTCTTTTCAAAATAAAGTGTTTATTTCTTAAGCTAGCACGTGGATGACCTCAGGCTGGACTTACCTGTCACCTTTGGAGCGTCGTTTCTGGACACTCTTTGGTCTTCTCTCACTGCCCAAACATGGTGCTCCGTTGGGCCCGGTAACCCAGACAGACTCCAGCCCTTTAGATGACTTCTTAAAATTGAACTCCACGGCTTCACCTTCTCTGAGGCTGCGGAAGCCCTCCATATGCAGTTTACTCTGTTAATAAGAGAGAGTTCAGCGGTTACCACAGATGGAAGGGTCAAAAAGCTTAATGTGGGAATCTTCACAGACTTTTGAGGGCTAACATTGAAACGATATATCACAGGGCAATTTCAAAAGAAAGGGTTTTATTTCCCCCCAAAAATCGTTTACAACAAAATAAACCTAACATAGCTCTAAACACAACAATCTCAACATACAACTGACCTGCCACAAATGAAACTAAGAGGACTTACATACTGGTTGATCAGACCAGGTTGGACACACAGGGGAGACTAACTATGGAACATGTCCAATGTGTCCAATTTGACCACCTCCCCAATAAAGCAGCTCTTGCTCCAGAACCAACACTTTTGCCCAGACTGCATGAAACCACTCAAGGGGTGTGGAATCCCCAACACTGGTAAGCTCAAATTAGGTTATTAAAAAACAAACAAACAGACAGTCCAAGAGTAAGTGCGCGCAACAAAAAGATACCTTTGAACAGTCAACTACATAAATAAAATATACAGATGTAAAACAATACATTACTGTATCTGAATTAATGTTTGCAACACAACTATATACAGTATCTCTCAAAAGTGAATACACCCCTCACATTTTTGAAAATATTTTATTAGATCTTTTTAAGTGACAACACTGAAGAAATGACACTTTGCTCCAATGTAGTAGTGAGTGTACAGCTTGTATAACAGCTTGTATAAAATTTGCTGTCCCCTCAAAATAACACATCACACAGCCATTAATGTCTAAACCGCTGGCTACAAAAGTGAGAACACCCCTAAGTGAAAATGTACAAATCAGGCCCAATTTGCCATTTTCCCTCCTGGGTGTCATGTGACTCATTAGTGTTACACGGTCTCAGGTGTGAATGGGGAGCAGGTGTGTTAAATCTGATGTTATGGCTCTCACACTCCCTCATACTGGTCACTTGAAGTTCAACATGGCACCCTATGGCAAAGAACTCTCTGATGTGAAAAAAGAATTGTTGCTCTACATAAAGCTGGCCGAGGCTATAAGAAGTTTGCCAAGACCCTGAAACTGAGCTGCAGCACGGTGGCCAAGGCCATACAGCGGTTCAACAGGACAGGTTCCCCTCAGAACAGGCCTCGCCATGGTCGACCAAAGAAGCTGAGTGTATGTGCTCAGTGTCATATCCAAAGAAGCTGAGGGTAAAGATGATGTACTGGCCAAGTATGTCTCCAGACCTAAACCCTATTGAGCATCTGTGGGCATCCTCAAACGGAAGGTGGAGCGCCAGGTCTCTAACATCCACCAGCTCCGTGATGTCATCATGGAGGAGTGGAAGAGGACTCCAGTGGCAACCTGTGAAGCTCTGGTGAACTCTGTACCCAAGAGGGTTAAGGCAGTGCTGGAAAATAATGGTGGCCCCACAAAATATTGACACTTTGGGCCCAATTAGGACATTTTCACTTTACTCACATTTGATGCCAGCGTTTTAGACATTAATGGCTGTGAGATGTGTTATTTTGAAGGGACCGCAAATTTACACTGTTGTACAAGCTGCACACTCACTATGTCATTTCTTCAGTGTTGTCACATGAAAAAATATAATCAAATATTTACACAAATATAAGGGGTGTGCTCACTTTTGTATGATTCATGGTGTCTCTACATAATGGTAGACAAGCTTGCTGCTTTTTGCTAGCTATTTTACTGTTTTCGACACCATAAAAGCTATAGTCAATATTTTTATTATAACAATCTAACAAAAGAGGGGTCACTCGTAGAGATGATCCAACAGAGAATAATCACCTGCAGTTTCCCAAAGCTTGACAGAGCTTTATAGTGAGTTTCAGCTAATTCTTTAGCTGTACGGGCAGCGACGTTACTGTTGGTTCACTCTCACCGCTGTCACAGAGTTGTATTTGGCAACCGTAAGCAGCTGTTTTCAGTGGACAAGCTCTAAAAAGCCACTGTAGCTAGAGACTAGCTGGTGAACACAGTGGAGAATTTAGCAGCTAAAGAGACAGATATTTAATTCATAAAGTTGCTACATGTCTACAAGGCTTTAAATCAGCCAGTTCCATATTTCCATATTTGGTCTGTACAAGACAAATGTGCAGCTTGATTAAAAATGTACCTCACACTTGAAACAAGAAGAAATGTTACATTAATAGGCATGTGGAGCAGCTCTTAGGGTATCCTCAGATAAAATCCAGTCCTATTGGCAGCCTTGTTAAAACACCAATGCCTTCAAACACCCCTCCTCCCCTCAAAAGCATTCCTCACACACACACACACACACCCCCCTGTGCTTCCTCAGCACCACCACCAACATGCAGCCACAGACTCTCCACAATGAGTCCATCTGGTCAAGACTCCGGATGATCACTGCACTGGAGGATGCTGGGAAATGACACAGGGGAGGAGTGCATTCCTGGGATAGCTGGCAGAAGAGGTGGCGAGAATGTATGCATCCTGAGAAAAGTAAATCACCAACCAGTGTGCTGCACTATTGATCTTTCACTAATTAGCTTTCCAATTGTGGTGGTAAATAAAAAGAAGGATGAACTGCCACATGGTGAACGTGCCAAACACCAGCTGCACTTATTGGGAAACAGTAATATTACCTCTTTTTTTCTTGAAGTACCCAAAGTTTATAAAAGTCACAAAATCTTGATAGAGTTTAGTATCCATTTAAGCTCCATAAAACATTGCAGAGCCAAACGTGGCTATGAAAACTATGAATAATCTCTATTAACAGTAAACAGCTCCTTTGTCATCTAAGTAGACTAAGCTGCTGTGTTGTTTTATAGCTCACATGTTGATATCCTTCATATTTTCTTGCAATATTTTCAACTCCAAAGACGTCATTTCCCTGAAGTGAAAGGCTTCATTCTAGCTTTGAGGTTATTTCCCATTTTGACTCCACCTCGGTTTACCACCCATCCATCCGTGCCTGGCAGCATGCAGCAGCCACAAGCCAACCAGTTAAAGGTCTCGAATGGTCATTTGTTGGTTAATATACATTAAAGCTGCTGCTGGCTCAGTTAGAGGAAGAATAGAATGTAAACCTGCTAACCAGTATGAAATGACCTGTTGGCTGCACTTTATACATGGGAATAACAATCAGACCGCACTCCCTGTCCTTTGAGCGTGACAGTAGCTGCTCATAGCTGGTTAGCTTCATTGTGCTTTGGTCAGGCTGTGTCTTCCGTGTCCACATGCCCCCCATGTGGACACACACACTGAAGCCACGAGGCCATGTCTCAAACTGAGGTTTTACCCACACATACCCAACTCCTGTAGCATTTTTTTTTAAATATGGGGGGGGGGGGAGTGGTTATGGTAGGATGTTTCAAACAAAGTGCTTGTCGAATTGTCGGACTTCCTGAAATCAACCTTTACTTGACCCCATTTTTTACACAGTGATTGTTTGAACTTCTTTTTCAATCTCTCTTTTTTTTATTCTTCACACAACTACAGCACAAATTACTGCATACAACACCATGAGTGTTTTTGAGGAGCGACTGAAAGTGTGTTTGGTATGAATCATCACATTGAGACTACAAAGCACGGGTGTAAACAAGACATTCTTTGGGGGGATTATGCCCTCACCAATACTGAGAAAAGACCAATCTGTCCCCCCAATATGCAGTAGAAAATATGTTAAATATGTCCTCCTTTTAGAAACCCTGTCAACGGATCTGTCTCTTATAATTTCCTATTTATTTTCAATTTTTTGTTAGCAGAATTAGACAGGACTCTGGCACAGAAACTAAGTAATGTAATTCTGTAAAGTAGGGCAGCCCAAAAACTGATTTTAGACACCTAAAAATGTATACCTGTTAAAGTGTACACTATATTTATAGTATTTTCACAGCTTTACCTCTCTTCAAATCCACCAGACTCCTTTGACAAAAACAATTATTTTACCTTGCATTCCACTGGAGACACTGGTCTACCACTGCCCTTATCAAATACAGTTAACACGTCCGTTTTTATCCATACTAACCCTTTAAACCACCAAAATCACACATTAACCCATCGAGGCAGCAGTAGACCACCAACTGCTGCATTCAGTAAGGTAAATTTATAGGAGTGGCTATAACAGCCTGAAGTTCCTATCGGAGAGGGCTGCATGTAACATGCGGCCAGATTGCTTTGATAGCAGAAAAATAAAAAATACATTCATTGATAGCGGCTGGTGCAGAAACAGTCGTTATGACAGCCACAGTTACTCACATAATCACTTTCTCTTAAGTGATTGTGCCTCTAAAATAAAAGCACAAGAACGTTTTTTTGCAGCAATGCTTGGTGGTTATTGAGAGCTTTTACTTTGAAAAGTTCTGAAGGACATACAAAAGAGACTCTGGCCTGCTTGACACACCTCTGTAAAAGCCGTCAGGAAAAGTGTGATTGGATTCCCCTGAATTTCCTCAGGGAAATGAAAATAAGCGTCCAAAGGTTTATGTTACTGTGGAACGCCGGGACGCACACGCACTGCGGCACATGCTTTATTGTGAGCATGTGCAAAAGTGTCCACCTTTCGAAACAGGTGTGAACATTTTTGCCTTTGTGCGTGCTCAGATAGCACATCATGAAGTCTAGTTCATTTCAAGCACACTGAGGCCTTAAGCTATTCTAAAACTGTTTAATAGGTGATTATAACACTACATCTCCGATCTGATCAAACCTCTGCACACCAATTTGACACCAATGATTCCCTGAAGCCTTATCCCTTCTCTTTCATCAGATGATTTACAGCAACACAGGGGCAGGTAACCTGAGAAGAGGTCTCTGCCAAAAGGCTCCACACAGGAGGTGGGACTGAAACTCGGGGTTGGGTGGGCTCCCTGATGCTTTAATGACTTTATAACAGGAAGCAGGGCTGGACGGGGAGACGAATGAGCCTTGTTTTCTCTGCTTTAGCCCCTAATCCCTTTTAAATAGAAATGTTTGAGCCCCTCTGTACCGTTGAGGTTCCACAGCAAATATTTGTCTGAGTGGCAGTGCTGACTCGGTCATGATTGACTTTAAAATGTGTTTATTTTTAGGTAATTTTACACAAAAATACATTAGATGTTTTACATTCTTCTCCTAAGCTGCTTTTGAGGGATAATGCCTGAGGCCATAGCTCCTGCCTGGTCTATTAACTGAAAGATAATGCTCATCACAGTGTCCCCCCCCAAAAAAACCCCAACTAATTACATCTTCACATTTGAGAAATCAAATGTCATTTTAACATGTGTAGTTGTCTTTTTGTCTTTAAAGGGTTCTGTAACTGTGCATCTGCTGCTTCAGTTCAGCTGGAACACGCTCTTCTGGTCATTCTCATGAGAATCCACGGGAAGGTGTGTTAACCAACTAGGAAATAAACCTGAAATTTTAGTTTTAGATTTTGCTTGTTTAGGCTACCAGAAACTATTACTGACTCTGTTATTACTTGTTGTTGTCTTTGTACCTGTAATGGTCCTCTAAAGGTTAAAGAGGTGTAAAGACAACCTCTTGGACTGACTGTTGTATATAGCTGAACTGTCTAACAATATCTTAAGTGCATACTGAAAGAAAACTTGTGAAAGAGCATAGGACCATAGAGCCTTTACTAACTCATCATACCAACCAAAAACAGTGTGTCATCATTTTTCATATTTAAGAGGCAGAGTCTGCTTTGCATACAGACAGTATAGTGTTTCATATTTGGACATATTTTAGTTTTTGAGGTTGTTGTCACCTCATCCATATTGTTCACATCCAGTGAATGTTATTACAGGCTATATACAGGTACAGTTAACATCTGAATATGTAACATATTATTACTAATATTCACATCCATTGTCTTAATTATACCACTTTTTACGTATTATCCCCAATTTTTGGACAGTTTGGGAGGACAGTGATTCGGTTCAGCCAGTCAGGAGTTGTAAACTTTTGTACTTATCCAGATACTTACTGACTGCACTGTTAAGGTTTAGTGAAATTTTAGTAGGTGTCTTAAATCAGGCAAACCTTCACCTCGCTCACCACAAGCATTGAAAAGCAGCAGCGTCTCACCTGGTGGACGAACACGTCGAGCGGCTGCTCCAGCGGAGCTCCGTCTCTGCTGCTCATGGACAGGAAGCCGAAGCCCATCCGCATGTTGAACCACTTGCAGACTCCTCTGCCCCGGGACAGACCCTCTGCCTCGTCCTCGCTCTGCGGACAGCCTCCTGCACAACAGCCAGGGACACATTGTGATGGTGGTCAGAAGGTCTGATAAACGGCAGCAGAGTGAAGGCCTTGGTTCTCCCGCGTGCGCCTGGCGCCTTGCGGAACGTCCCGAGAAAAAATAAAGCACTAGCTTTGTAATGAAAAACTGTTCATATCTAACACTATTTTCTCATTTGACTGGTGTGGACGTTGTATTAGGGGTGCGGCTAATGTTTATATGTTTCCGAAATAGTCCATAATCTCAGAGAATACTGAAATTGTTCATTACAATTTCCCAAAGCTCAATATGTCAAATTTAAATGTCCGACCAACGGTCCAACATCGAAACATATTCAAGTTAGAAGACTTTGAAAAACAACAAATAATCAAATCAGAGAAGATGAAATCGCTAAGTCAACTTTCAGCATTTTGCTTTAGATATTACACAATACAAATAAATTTTCCACTCGGTTTTTAACCTTTTACATTTCTTGTTCTAGGCTACTCTAATAGCCTACTATTACTTTCTCTTTATCATTAGGTCGCACTGTCAATATAGACCGTCCTAGAGCTGCTAAAACACCATATGAAATGCGGGTTAGTTAATCATCAGCTGATTGTTTCATCCATAAATAATTAGGGTTTTATTCATTCAGTGTTTTGCTCATCTAATTATCTGATTTAATTATATAGATGACGAACGACGAGCAAATTAAGTAGGCTATATTTCTAATATTTCTTTTGAAGCATGTTGGCTCCGTGCATTTCCTAACATGCCATAGCCTACCTCCACTGCCAGCAGGCCCCATCTTCCAGCTAAATCTTTTAACAAAAAAATAATAATATTAATAAAAAAAAACAGTTTATCGGTGAATCCAAAGCTTCTCTGATAAAGAGAAAAACAAGTTAACAATGTACTAGCATTACTATCAACATTAAAAAGTTGGATTTCTCACTACATTGCTGTTTCTTGTGGTCTACCTGTGAAACTGTGATTGGAAGCAGAGCCCATCCCGCCGCTCTCTACCGCTTATCCCCGGCTTCAGAGTGCCCCCCCCCCCCCCCCCCCCCCCCCCCCACACACACACACACACACACACACACACACACATTCTACCTCCACATCAACAAAAGCATAACTTCCCCCAGACACCAAGTCATGGCAGCACTTCTGGAGAGATTTTTCTCCATAGACAACCATTACCCCCCCTGCAGCCCCTCAGTGAGGACAGAAGAAAGACAATGCAAGAGGAAGAAAAGCCAGCCCTCCTTTGTGCCTCTTTTCTATTAAAACCTCCTTCCCTCTTTCAGAGCATCTGCAAAGAAGCTCTTCATACCTTCTGCCATGGTGTGAGGTTTCCTCACCCTCCTGCAGGAACAGCTCCGGCCCTGGAAATATCAGACTAAATGAGTTAATTGCATGCTGGACATCCGTGCACGTTCCTCCAGGAGAAAAAAATGCGTTCTCCCTGCTCGCTCCTCTCTGCATGCACTCTACAAAGAACCCTACTGACCCTCCTACCTCTAATAACCCCCCATCACACACGCGCGCGCGCGCTTAGACCGCCACCACGCACACACTACCACATTTTCGGTCAAGTCCACGTGATTTCCGAACGCACATAAATCACACATTTCCAATAAGATATAGGGGGCCAGGACACTGACAACATGACCAATCAGGGCCTTGGACGATCCTTCATTAGCGTTGCACCCAAGAGCCCTGAAGGATATCACCCCGCCCACCGCCACCCTCCACCGCACACACACACACACACACACACACATACATAATTGAACCCCTTCTGCGTTTTGCAGCTACTATTTAAATATAAAGATGAATAGTAAAGATGTCCTCTAGGATGTAGGCTATTTACAAATGATGTGTCAACATAAGCAGAAGTATCTTTTATTGATAAAAAAGTGTGTGTGACATTTCCATCTGAACTGACTTGTGACTCCATATAACATCCCTTAAAAAGCCATTAATCAACTCTCTGTACATTCAATTTACTAAATATGTTTGACATGGTTTCAAAATAAATTTGCCAAAACTACATTCTCACAATTCTGACCATAATATTAAAAAAAATAATCTGGGGGTGGCGGGGGAGAAAAGAACTTGATGTAGTTGCATGTTTGAGAGATAAGATAACTGTCAGTGTGTCAGTTTAAAAAACAAAAGACAACAATCCTGTGGCACTCAGAGTAAAATGAATCTTATCTGAAATTCATTTTAAGCACTTTGTTTTGGGAAATTCTATAACATAACTAATAATAGCAGTAGATTCAAAGTCTCCGCCTTTGATGTCACTGCTATGAAACTGAATCCTCAACCATTCATTTAATAATGCTTACCTTTTAGGTCACCTAAATTAAGTTATTTTGATACTGTACACCTGACATATATGAATGTTAATAATGCACATTAAAAGGCAAAATTGACATAACAACATTAAAGCTGTCACCTAATGTATACATTTAAAGTGAAAATTCAGGGTGTGTTGGTTGGTAAATTTGTAACCCCTTATTATCGATTAATTAACCCCAAATCTGTGAACCCCTGTGAATTTAGACTTTAATTGGAAATTTAAGGGTTTTTAAAGGGACAAAATAGAGTCATTTGTAATGCTATTTTTTAAAATAAGGTTTTAAAATGAGGTTTTGGTCCTTAAAAACACATGAATCCACACAGAAAGCCAATTAAAAATCCATTATATTACAATGCATTAATGTATCTATTAATTTACTCCAAATCTGGATGAAGCTGTTAAACACCTCAATACTGAATAGTGATCACTTGTGAATGTATGTTTTTAACATTATCTACTAATCGTTTAACAATACTTAAAACTGATAACAAAAAGAATAAATTTCAAATCCATGAGTACATTTAGGAGAAAGTCACGTATTAGTTAAAGTCCTGGGATGTTTAAAGGCTTTTGCAGTTTTAGCCTTCTCAGAACACCTTAAATTTATTAATTAATCAGTCAGTGACTCATTTCAAATTAATGTTCAAATGAAGGGGTAATGTACCACTGAAATGTGCTTAAAGGGCTATTTAAAATAAGAAGTGTTTAAGGCGTTTAGTTTTCACCATTTCAAATTGATTGACAAATTAAGGGATCTCACCTTCCCAAAAACCCTGTGATTAAGACATGTGTGGAATGTTTTCAAATCTAAATTAAGGGTAAATTAAGTGTGTTTTAAAGGATTGTAGTGGTTCAAATCAGATCGTGTCATCTGGCTGATATCCAACAAACTATCACTATACTGTTCAGTGGAATAAAGAAAGAGTTGGCTCTGAATGTCCATACGTGAACCGTGTGTACATTAGAGAGAACCGGTGCTATACTCACTTTGTCTATACTAATCATACAAATAATGATGATTGTGTAAACTAATAGGTGGAATTTAGACACCAGATGGTTTCTCCCTCTGCCTTATTCTTTCAGGATGAGTCACATTTGTTGCCGATGAAATTCAGCTCCTTGCATTGTCTCTGCTGAGGTGACTCACGTCCACCTGTCACACTTTGTAAAAAGACATACGGTGGCCTGCTTGAGTCATTCAATCACGCTCATTAATAAGTAATGAGGCCCTTTCAAGGTACTGTATAAGACCAAAAATCTGCTCTCATCACTGCTGAGTCATGGAACTGTAATGACACACAATCACGCACACACACGCAGACACTCACACACATTCAGGCATTGCGTATGTGCAGAGATAATGAGCTAAAACCTGCCGTTTTCTAATTTCCTGTGGACAAGTGCAGCGTAATCTGGCCACATTTTGCGCGTGCGTGCTTGGGTGTGAGGGGTCCAGCCTGATGAAAACCAAATGACAACCTCCATTCATGCGTTTAATAGTCCAGCCAGAGGCCCTCTGAAAGTCACCATGGAAATGGAAAGGCCCACCGGCTGCTGCACAACAAAACAGGCCACCCTAAGGTGATCCGGGTCACCCAGAGGGGCTTGCGGTAACAAAGCCTTGGCACGTGCTTATTCGGTAGCCATCACTGAATCTACACACACACAGAGGCAGTTATGTGACTGAGAGAGTAAGTTCTTAAATATTACAACGTGTGACTGAAGTGCACATATTAAAGTACCATTACGACTTGTATATAATGATGTTTGGTTTAAAACACACTTTGGGAATGACTGCCTGTGTCTTGTGTGTTGCAGATGGGGGAAATAAGCAGGGGCCCCGTGGGAAGCCTGTCAGCTCACCTTTCACCCCTCCTCCAAAGGGAAATCAATCAATAAACCTGATCAATAACTAATCTATAACACGCTGCCATGTTGTGACAGATATCCCTCCCACAACAAGTCTCTGGGTAGGAAAGGCCGCTTGCGGGCCACGTCAGGGCCAAGCAGGCAACATTGACAGGCTGAACCCCTCTTCATCAAAGTAACCTGTCCGTTAAAGAACAATGACACTATTTTTGGGGATTGTTTTTTAGTTGACTTCAATGACTTTCATGGTCATCGTCACTAGATGTCATTATGGTGGACTTCGTACATTTTTAAAGCTACCACGTGTGTGATTTTTCTGTGTTTGCTGTGACTCTGGTAGCATTAAAATAAAGATTTGTGATGAAAATTGGTGCAGTCTATTTGTAGCTTTCAGCCCATTCACCACACTGTGCCCTGGTAAGATATGTGGGAAGAGGCAATGCTCCCTACCACATTATCCATAGTTAACACTACCACCAGATGGCGCCAATGTCAAATAAAAAGTCTCCACATAAATCCACAAACCTCCACATATGACAAAACTGGAAAGACAAGACTGGTGATATAGTATGTTTTCCTTACCATCAATGAATTTCATGATTTGTGGTTTGTTAGTGCATCTGTCACGTTTTTGCCAAAAGACAAAATAGTGCATCTGTTCGGGACTATTTACAGCTGCAGATTAATCCACATTTGGTGCTCTGGTGAAGAGTTGGAGCAGCAGGATGATGTATGTGGAGTTGAGTCAAAATAAATTCATGTTTGTTCATGGTAATGAAGGAACACTGATGTGTTTTTGTTGGAGCTCTATAGCACATAGGAATAAGATATATCTGACTTTGATACACACAGACTTCACATTCAAATATATAATTTGTCCAGCCTCCAGCAGGAAGTTTGATAGCTTACCATCTCAAATCACTGACCTCACCTGTGTGTAATCCTCCAGGGAAAAAAATCAAATGGTGACAGGGCAATGCATAAAAACAGCATGAATGAAAGTTTGATGTTGGAATTATGAGCTCAGATTGCTGTGTGGTTTTGCTGCCTAATTAGCGCAGATACAATTACCTACAGGTGTACAGAAATTGCTGAAAGGAAGAGGCAAACAATGCTCTATTCATACATAAACTCATCAATAGCCTCCGTCATACAAAGGGGCATTGTATCCAACGGGATTACTGTTTCAGCACCAGGGACAGCTCTACTAACGAAGCACAGGCCTCCTTTTGTGACATGAAGGTTTAGGGATCCTTAGCTTTTAAGAAGATACTGTTGTTGCTCAAGGCTCCAAAGTGAGAGATGTGGCATGAAGCAGATTGTGGATCCATGGCCAATTAGCCATGCAAAACTATGGAATGCTTTGGAATCACACCGTCTCATCACATCCCATGGTTGAAAATTGGAAGTTTAATCAGTGAGTTCATGTTTCGTGAAATGTGACAACAAAAATCGCATATGTAGGTATAGCGCCTATAGGAAATGTAGATTTATTAAAACATGGCGGGATGATTTATTGGTAAAAAGTATGATAAAATAATTCCATAATGTCATCTACAACAACCAACTATGCTTTTTATGGCCTGACTGCATATAAGAAATGGGGTTTTTTTGTATGGAAAGCCAAACAAAGTACATCTTTCACAATTTATTTGTTTTAGAATTAACAACAAATATAGCCTGCGATGGACTGGTGACCTGTCCAGGGTGTACCCCGCCTTGCACCCAATGTCAGCTGGGATTGGCTCCAGCCCCCCCGCCACCCTGTACGCAGGATAAGCGGTTGACAATGGATGGATGGATGGAACAAATATAGCTATTGATTAATCCTATATGCAAAAAATGTGGTTATATTATACATGTAAGGTGTTCTGAAAGAACAGACTTGTTAATACATACATGACGCATGGATTGGAAGATGGCTAGCCTTAGTCCACAGGACTACAATGGCTACATTCACAAGCATGCAGGTGATATTTTATTTTTCCCACTAGATGGCACATTAAGCAAGCATTCTCTGAGACCACCCAAAACCACAGTATCATCATAGTGATTCATACATAATCCAAAGCAAATGGAAATACTGCAGATAGCGCACCACACAAGCATCACTTTTACACTAAACAGGATATTATTCATTTCTTAATGATGTTAAGAAACTCAGACACTTTAGGGATTACACTCTCATTGGGGGCATCCAAGCTAAAAATGTCTGCAGTCATGATGTATTTTATGCTAAAAATTCTTGTGGGATTTTGCTCAAGGACCTGTTTGGCTTTTACATAATAGTCAGTTTATTCCCTATTTCCTTATTTATATACTGTATCTAAATGATTAAATAAAGATTAGTTTAAATTGAGTGGTTATAAACCGCACCCTTTACCCATTAACTTAATACACTAGTAGCTTTAGTTTAGAGGATGTGATAAAAAACACCCAAAAAGCCATGTTTACAGTAGAGAACATTTGTCAGTGTCAGAATTAAAGGTAAATTTTACAGCATCAGCAGAGATTGAGCTTCTTCAGTGAGTATTGATACAATGAGGTCTTTGGTATATGACAGAAAAGTACATGATGTGTGGTGTTATGCTGTAGGCTGATTGATTGTAGGAGTTAATAGGCCTAAAATAAGACACATGACTTTGAGTCCTTTAGCCTACAGGAAACAACTCAAATTCTCAGAATCAAGACTAAAGGTATTAGTAAACAAAAAAACAAAAACAACAAGCCTGTATCAGGGGTGATTAGTGCCACAACCACACATATCTACAGTATGCTCCAATTCCAAGATATTATATGGACAGAAATCCATGCTGGTAAGATTAAAATAAAAGCTGCATTAAAAATATAGGTTTTGCAGCATTGCAGTGTAATTTCTTATTGAGTGTCTCAAATGCCCCAGTAAGTGATAAAATAGCATTTTGAAATGTGTCTGCTAAAATAATGATTTGAAAATCAAAACACCACTCTCTAGCTCCAGAGATAAAACATGTCACAAACACAAGAGAAAGCGAGATCCTCCTAGTGACACTCGTTCCACAATAGAGAGATGCTTCCCTCCAATGGGTTGGGGGGTTAAATTTACTTAATAATTAATTTACTTAATACGCGTAAAATAAAAATGTGGCTACATGTTTATACATTTTTATTAACAAACTAATTAATTAATATTGTACATACTGTAAATGGATAAGCTAAGAGAAAGACTGGGATTATGATTAAATAATTAAATATCACTAGAATGAAACAGGATGTGAACCTCTACACTGACTGCCTAGTTGCATGACATATGAGGTTTCCAAAGCATAACTAAGTTTAAATATTATCTAGGAAGTGTCCTGACCTATGTTATTTGGATAATATAGGAAAAACTTTTTTTTTTCATATGCTGATTTGCTTCCTTGAGGACAAATTTTACATTTTGCATGGTGAGCATTGCCTACTGTGCAGTGATAAAAAGGTTTGGATACACTACAAGTTAGATTGGAATGAATTAACTGGATGTGGACCAATTAAATACAACGTCAGTGTCATTTCCCTATTTCAGTTGCTGTTGCTGTAGCCGACAAAAACTTTGACTCAGTCAGCATAGCTATTACATGTATAAGTGCAACATTGCTCACTTGTTCCAAGTTAAATAGTTCTTCCCAGGAAATTTCCTAAAGAAGTCCTGATTAGTAATAATTATAACGTTTATTTTTAATTAATTGTTACCAATAAGGATGATATGGTAATAAAGTATGATTTAGCCATTTCATTTTCTCCAGTCTACAATTTCTATAGACAACACATATGTTTCTTCAAATGTAAGAGATTAACCTATATGCTCAAACCGCACCTCCTGCTTCTCTCGCTTGTGGCATTAATCACCCCTCATACCGGTTGGGGTTAATCCCACCTCCTGCCTGCTCGCATCACAAAAACAAATGCCTGTCTCTCGTCTTCTAGCATGAACATTCGGTACAAACAGTGTTTCTCTAAATACAGGGCTGATTCCAGCAACAGAATAGAAAACGCTTTCCAGGAAACAGACGTAATCCCTTGTCATAACGGGAATGACACGAAGAGCAGCTGCTCGACGGACAAATGAGAAGCAGACTCACAGAGCGACCAAACCATTGGGTGGAATACAAAGGTAACCAAAGCAGCTTTATTGGAGCTTTACAGGAGCGACTAGACTGGCTTGCTGTAGAGACATGAGAGAACTGTTGAGTGATGGGACCGATGTTGCACTTTTCTCTCGAGGAGGGCAGGCTGGAGAACAAATAAAACCCGACGGGATCATCATGGCTGTGCGAAGGCGAGCAGTGGGCGAGTTATTGAAGCGTTCTAGTGCAGGATTCCCTCAGGTCGCGCTAATGGAAGTGATGTGAGATTGCTTCGCTTGTCGTGCGTTTAACAAGGCTCGATTATGCGCCAGCCTCCGCAGTGACCGAACGCTTTTTCTTTTACCTGCTCGACGCCAATTCATGCCGAAAGACGATGACTGCACTCACGGGCTGTAGCTGGCACTAAGAGGGACCCGTGTTAGCTGCTGCACCGGACTGGCTGTTTCTCCGCAGCACCACGGACAGCGACCATGACTCGGCTCCGCAGGAAAGCTCTCGTGGCACTCTTCCTCTTCACGCTCTTCATTTTCGGGGCCATGATGGGACTCAGGACGCTGAAACCCAGTGACGGCTTCTCGGACCTGGCCCCAGGCATGGACTTCACAGGAGAGAGGTCCGAAAGGAGGCGGCTGGATGTGAAAGACGTGGTGGCGTCTCCGGGCCAGTTCCACATGGGCAGCAGCGACACTAAGGTGGTTTTCACCAAATCGGACCGAGATTACAGTATATTCTATGATGTTCACATCTTCTACTACCTGTGGTACGGCTCTCCCAGCATGGACAACAAGTACATTCACTGGGATCATGTGCTGGTGCCACACTGGGACCCAAAGATTGCAGCCAGTCATGCCCAAGGAAGGCACACCCCCCCAGAAGATATTGCCTCAAGTTTTTACCCCGAACTGGGACCCTACAGCTCCAGGGACCCAGCGGTGCTGGACTCACACATGGCCCAGATAGAGGCTGCTGCAGCGGGTAAACATTCTCGCAACACTATACATGTTTCCCTTGTAATGCTAAATCTATTGGCTCTCCTCCAGGGCCATAGCCAGTCCCCCAGCGACCCCAACGAAGAAAATGCAGTCTTTTCTTCATATTTTATTTATGCAGTTAACTTGTATACATATTATGTAATTAATAAATTTTCAGGTGATAAGTTTTGCAACTATTAATGAGAAACACTGACTGAAAGTGCTTTAACCTCCAACATCATTCATCACATTCAAACGCCATGCCTGACTGGACTCCTCTTTCTATGCTGTGGTGTTGTAGGAGTGCTGGTGTTGTCCTGGTATCCTCCCGGGGTGGCAGACGACCACGGGGAGCCCACCGAGGACCTGGTTCCTGCTGTCATGGACGCAGCCCACAGGCACAGCATCAAGGTAACTGGTGAGACAACCGGTATGTTTTTCCTTTCTGATGATTTACTGAATGAATGGCTTGCCAATGACAGTGAAATGTTAAAGCTGAAAACAACATACAGTAGGCCTATATCTTAATCTTGTATAGCATTCACACTGCATCTGCAAATGTTCCCATGATTTCCTTGACTTAGTGTGAAAAAAGCTGGAAAGAGACATTTCATGTCAGTTTTGATCTGGACAACTGTGGTGAAAATCATATTCATATGCAACCAACATGTCAGTTGTATATTGTATGCTTAATTTGAGGACTGTCTTATTTCTATTGTCATACTTTTGCAAATTGGCTGAGCCAGAGTAGTTGCAGTATTTTGTGGAAACGACAACTCAAATCTAATTACATTGAGATAAGTGCATGATGTGACTTTAATAAATGTGTCTTTTGACAGGAATGTCAGATCATATTGATAGGCCTATCAGATATGGGTTACATCCTGGAATAAATACAGTAGCTCATTATAAGCAAACCAGTTTGGGGCTTGAAAGCCTGCAACATGTAGGCTACATGACAAGTAGCCTATAGTTATTCTAAAATGCGCTTATTGCCAAATTTTTATATTTATCCCACTTATCCAGTGACCTTGGGTATAATAACACTTCTGCAGCAAAATATGAATGTTCTTTATTCAAGAATTTTCAACTAAACTTTTTTGTGTATTGCATTGTTCTGCTAATTGTGCTGCCTTGTGGATGTAGGTGAAGAGAGCGATAGCAATAGCATTGTAAGAGCGTCAGACAAGAAAGTGGCACAGCAACGTTCATCCGTATGTCCTTGCAAAATAGAAAGCTTGATGATGATGATGATAGCTTAATGTGTCTTTTAGCAGGGCTGGTTGGTAATCTACTATAGCTGCCACGCGAAATGCTAGCCTTCTAGGAATATTCTAGTTGTAGTTAGTAACAATAGTTCTACTAGCTAGGTAGCTTGCTAACTGTCGGTTAGCACGCTAGCTAGCCCTTTTGATAACCAGATAAGTAATAGTTTATTCATCATGGTTATGCGTATGGCACAGCACAGCTAATAGACTCTGACTCTGTTTTGGAGTCTCTGGCTCTTTGTTAGCGTTCACCAAAGAATCACACAGATTTACTTCGACAAAGATTTTGCTTTTAAATGCTGCGGCGTTGGGTTCTTAAGACTGCATTTTTTTCCAGTTGAGAAAAAGTGTGTCGTGCCCTTTATTCCAAATGCAGCATGTCTTGCAGCTCTATTGCATTCTGGTCCACTGGGGCTCCTGTCTGTAGAAATTTGTACCTACCCAGCGGGTCCCATGTGGCATCTTCAATTTTGATGCTCTGACCTCAAAACCTGACGTTTACAGTAATATATAGGGAGATGAAAATGTTCTGCTTCAGATGCTTTTCGAGCAGAGCCAGTAGCTGGTAAAAGGCATGAAACGCTTTAGGGTAGATTTTATTATATATTATATATAACAAAGTCATATCTGCATTACACTGAGGGGGTTAGATACCATAAAGCCATAATATGCTGAAGGTGCTTGAGACAGCAGTGGCAAAACAAGCTGAGCACAGACTGTAGATTCAGCATTAAGAGGACAGAAGAGCTTTCCCTCAGTCTACTTTCATGCTCCTTATATGGAAGTCTTAGGCTGAGAACTGGGTCTCTCTGTGTGTCTCAGTCAGACTTACACAACAGTGTGTATCTCACAGCTGACCTGAGGGCTAATGCTCCAGTGTTTCAGTGCACCAGAGCTGCCGCTGACAAAATACAGGCTGAAGTCTGTGTTTGTGAGCAGTCGTGTGTGTGTGCATTTCCCCAGCAAATGTCATACATGTGTGCATAAAATGTGATTTGATATAGTGCTTTTGAATCAGGAGCAGTTTGTCTGTCGAAATCCAAAGGCAAAATGAGTGGTGAAGAGGCACTGTTGTTCCAAATTCCACCCAAACCAGACCCTGCTGTCACAGATATGAGTGAGACCATCACATGTGACAAACAGGAGGACACAGGCTGATCTATAATCCCCACCAGTGCTTCATCCTGACTATAATTAAGCACTGATTGATTACTGTTTGCTCAGTGAAATGTTGACCTCAGGATGCCAGCTTTTTTTCATAAATATGGTGCTTCTCTTAATAACAGTGGTGTCAGAACATAGATGAGATCTGAATATTTGAATGGAATATTCTTCTTTTTATAGTCAACACACAAGGAAATGTGCTCTTCCTAAAAAATATACATTACCATCAAGTTTCACAATAAAAGCATGAAGCTGCACTAATCAATATGTTCTATATGAACAGAAGGTTAAATGACTTGTAGTGAAAAACCCACAGAGAGTTATCACCCAACTGAGCCTACAGAGCTTTTTACCAGCTGTAGGCTCACTGTTTTGGTTTTCTGGCCAGCAAGTTCACTGTTTTGGTTCAGTCTCACTGCTCTCATCGATGCATATACTGTAGCCTATATATTGTGATGTTTTAATGTTGTCTAATATTGGTTTCTTGCACTAGCTGTATGTGTGTTTTAATGTCTTGTATTGCTGCCTTTTGACCAGGTCTTCATTGTAAAACATACACTTTCTAGTTAATGAGAAAACATTCCCTACATAACAAAGAGTACAAATGATTTTGTCTTTAAATAGCAAGAGAAAATCTGATTAAGCCAACATTAGACTTTGTGCCTATGTTGTTGCTGTGGGCTTCTTTGGTGTAAAGTATCACAGACTAGATGGAAGGTAAATATGGATGAGTCGGGTGCAGTTTACCCAGGTCACATTGCAGGATTTCTAATTATTTCAAGTTATTCTGAGTACACTTTCTGAAGACCTCAAGAACAGAGGTTGTCTTGCAGATGTTTTTTTGTCATAATGGTATTTTGCATCTACACTTTTGAATGTATCATCTCAGTTTACGTAATTAGCTGATTTAATGTAGCATACACCAACATGATGATATAACATTGCTTCAGGTTAGCGTTTGTCATCATCTAAAGAAAAGCCAAATACTAGGGGAAACTGTCTCGGGAGGCTTGTTTGTTGCGGCAGAATCTACACACCTGAGGCTTGAGATGTAAATCTGAGTCAGCAGGCATCGCACCAAACGAAGGTATCTGAGCAAATAAAGTACTTTTCATTCGCATCCATCCGTGGTTTATTCAACTAAACAGGAACAGATTGAGCAGTGTCTTACCTCGCTGGCCTTTCATGATTTCCAACCAGTCGAGACAGCTGACAAGCCTGGGCTCGGGCGCCAAACACCACCGTGTTACCATGGAAACTGTTTAGGAAGACCTTGCAGCCTCTTTTGAAAGATGGAGTGGGCGTCGAGCGCTTAGTGTTTTTGGCTCGACAGCTCTGTCAATGCTTTACTGTTTGCCACTTAGCTGCAGTGGACCTTTTTTCCCCAATGTGACTGAAGCAGACAAGTATACCATAGTATTTCCTGGATGACAGAGGGCATCCATCACTCAGCTTTCAGCTCCTGCCATAGAACGTAACACAGTGTTCTCTGTGAAATCATGCTCCAGTTGCGGTGATTTTCATGTTTTTATTGAGTTCTTCTTAAGAAATACCTGCTGCCCATTAGCAAAAATTCCCTCTGATTTACGCAAATCCAAAGAAGATTGTGCAGATAACTCTTTGAGGTTTCTATTATTGCGGAGAGGTCGCTTAAAGAGATTTTATGAGACAGAAACCAGTGGAATAGATGTCACCCCGTGTCACCTGAATGTGTTGGCAGATGAGAGGACAATACGGGACAAGCCTGTGGGGATGGTGAGCATCTGCTTCACTTGTTCTCTCCTCCTCCTCCCTCTCAGCTCCACTTTCAAGAAACCCTCAGCAACCTGCGGGCTATACTTAGGTTCTGTCTGCTATTCTGTCTCCTTCAATCTTCATATCAGAGAAAAAGGACACTGTTTGCTTGCCTGTTTCCTCTTTGATGATTGATGGCTCTTATTTTTATACCATTTGCAAGAATCTAAGCACTGTCTGTATTGAAATGTATGAAAAGGCACAAAGGCAAAAAGAACAGCACTGAAAAACGAAATAATAAAATAATACCCCACTAGCACAATTTTACTTGTAAACTACCAACCTACATCCAAACACACCTCCTACTGCTCTGCTAGCTACTGCAACCTGCGTGCTATTGAGCTCAAATGTGATTTTATATCATGTAGGATGTTAGATAGTTGCAACATTTAAGTTTACGCCCCTGAGTTCAAGACGAGTCATCAAAAATATTATAACGTTCACAGGAAAAGAGGAGAGACGGTTTTTGCTATGAAAATGCTCAAATATGTTTTAAAAAACATATTTTTAGTGCCGTAAATGACAATAGATAACTGAACACTGGGAGACAGAATTATTACTTGGAAATGTATTTTTTATATAAAAAATAATAATAAGGAAGCACTTAGCAAAGTCCATCCATCCATCCATCCATCCATTGTCAACCGCTTATCCTGCGTACAGGGTCGCGGGGGGCTGGAGCCAATCCCAGCTGACATCTGGCGAAAGGCGGGGTACACCCTGGACAGGTCGCCAGTCCATCGCAGGGCAAAGTGTATAATAGATTTAAAGTCATTTGGAGTCATGTGAAGGTATAAATCAAATGAATGCTCTGCTGTGTGTCATATACTGAAATGCTGACGTTAGAGCTCAGGGCTGGACCCCAGCCTTAACCCTTCAATAATAGAGATCTAAAGAAGGGACAGTTCCTAATAAAGGCCAACTGAGTCAGTCCTGCTATATTCATACACCACTGAGCAGTGGATGAAATTTACGTCTGCAGTTGACAGACTTTGTATAAAATAGATAATAATAATGTTTATATATATTGTTCAAGATTGTTCAAGATTGTTATGAAAGTATGGTAATAATATTTACAAAATAACTTGACATCTGAAAATTGACAGATTGAAGCAAAATCATCATTTTGGACTGTGCCTCACCACAGTATGAAATGAAAGGAAAACAATTTATAGCGACAGTAAAAAGCGTTATTAAACCAGGTGAAGTTCATACAACGGATTTCTATAACAAGAATAAATAGGAAGCTGTAGACGCGCTTGAAATGATTTCCCAATATTAAAAGTAAGGCTATAAATAACGAATGAATTATTATGTGTCTTTACTACAGAGTGATTCATTTTTGCCTTTTTCTATGATAACAATAGCTGCACCCACTGGCCCTCCCCGCGAGCCACATATGCATAATTTGCTAAGTTCTGAGTAATGAGTGCTGCGTGTACAATTATGCTTCTATCTGATATTTTAAATTGGTTACCAACCGTTTAAATCAATCATGTTTATTTTTCATAATAGGAAATAACAAAAACATAGCCAGTCAAGAATCCTGTTGGGAATGAAAGAATCTTTGCTAAATTTAAATGCAGCTATAATCGTCATTATGTATTTATTATGGAAGACTATCCCTCCCCTTGTTCGAAGCTCTGTTTTAAAACCAGAGAGGATCTGGAAAGGTTCTGATCATGTTATTATAAAGTCAGTACTTTTGTCCCTGTCCATATCCAGCTCAGGAGCAGGTCAGCTGTGCAGCAAAGGTTACCATGGTGATGTACCCCGGTTGAAAGTGAGCCCGCTTGAAATGAACATGATGCTGTCGCGATGTTGAGCAGGGTGATATTTGAGGATTCACACATGCAACCACTGTGGAACAAGTACCTCCAGAGCGGGCACCAAATGACACTTCAGTCAACAGTGTGCTTCACAGACAGACGGCTAAATAATTAGCAAGGTCCACAGACTACTAATTAAATGTTACCTTCATTCTGGCTGTCCATCAAAACATATAATACACTGGAATAATGAACAACCGAGTGCTCAGTTTGAAATTCATTGCGTAACCCTTTAATTTGCAGGTTTTTTTGTATTTATGTTGTGCTTTGATAATTGTTTTGTTAACAACCGTGTTAAAATGTGTTTTGCACAGGTGGCCTTTCACATACAGCCATACAAAGGACGGACGGACCAGAGCATGCATGAGAACATCAAATACATTATTGACAAGTGAGTTGTTTTTCTGTTTCCGCTTTCCCCTATGCTAGATTTGTTTCCTTTCCCTCACCAAAGGGTCAAGCTCTGCTTTCCATATCAGTGACCAGTCACTTTAGAAGTCTAGCGATCTGGTGAAACATGAAGTCTGATAGGGAGAGATGAGGAAGGTGGTTGTTGAATATAGATGTCTTCTCTGTGAGCCTGCTGTATTGGATCAGCAGGTAGCTTTTGCCCTGACTTTAACCAGTCTGAATGTGCGTCAAAGGAAACCTGACTCTTTGTCTATCTCAGAAAATGTGAGGGTTCTCAGCTTTTCCCATAACTCAAGCAACATATAAAACATATTAGCTTTAAGAGATGGACTCGGGGAAAGGCTGTGAGGCTAAGTGTTTTAAGATACTCAGTCTTAGTGTGAGAGAGGCCCATGATCTCACACTGTGACTAGGAACAAGAATAAAGAGTCTCAGTTTCCATCTTTATAATAATACAATGCTGGAGTAAAATCAAAGCCCAGCCTAGAGAATCTGAATCTGATTTCTGGACTTTATATTGCTGCCAGTATTTTCCGAAACCCACTGTGCTGACCATCTGGATAAAATGAAACCAGAATTGGAAAGACAATAAAAAGAGATGATGCTCTCAGTAAAGCATAAATATTTTCTGAACATCTAACACAAACTCAAGTTGTAAAATCCTGACTGTATTAAAGGTGCGACGTGTGGCATTTTAGCCTAATTCAGTTTGAAAAGTTACAGAGCCAGGACAGAGCCTGCAGCCTTTTACTGCAGGTAATTTCTATTTAGCCGGACTGCCACTGACAAAGTTAACTGGAACACCAACCCATATAGAGAATGAATATATTTGTGATGTCCCCAGAAACACATCAACTCAAATGAATGTTAATGTTGCTGTGCCTGTGACTAAATATTTATATATCGTAAAACTTGAATTAATAGCCGAGTCCCCAATAGCCGCCTACCCCATTTCCTGGCCTGGTGTGGGAACACATTTTGACAAATAAACGCAGGTCTCAATTAAACGCCTGGTCTGGTTTTTATAGAAGTTCTTTGGACGTATAAAACCTCTTAAACCCAACCGGGTTGCCCGCTTTAGCTACTTCTAAGCTGCTTTGATCGGTAATACAAATATTAATGTTTAAACGTATGATCAATATGTCAGTATGGACATGCTGCACAACGTTAGATCAGTTAATTTCTCCACAGTTCAATCGCCAAAGTCTAATTCTTATGGATTTACTGGTGTACAAGAGATGAAAAGGGAAAAAAAAGTGCCGACTCCCATTTCCTTTGAAGCGCTCGTTAAGTCCGAATGTGTCCATTCCTTGATTATATATATATATAAGTTGTGAATCCTATCATGTGAAGTTCATCGCTCTCTGTCTGCTAACTTCTGCCACCCTTCTCTCATCCTGCACCCTGTTGTTGTTTCCATTACGTTGCTGCCTTCAAATTAAAAGTGCATAAGCCGTCTGTTGAAGCTAGATCAAATGAACGACGTGTATTTGATTTTATTGGATAATTTTTATACAAGTAACATTCTGTTTGAAATAAATAAACTGTTTCAAAGTAGCCTATTTCAGTTTTGTGCGAGAGGAATTAAAGCCCTGTCCCATATGGACGCCTGTCCCAAATAAAGGCAGGGTCAATTCAGTGATTTTAGCAAATAAAAGCCCGGGCTATTATTCAAAGTTTTACAGTAGGCAACTGTTTAACAGTTTAACATGTTAGCCATGTCAAATGTACAGGTGCTGGTCATATAATTAGAATATCATTAAAAAGTTGATTTATTTCAGTAATTCCATTCAAAAAGTGAAACTCATTCCACACAGACTGATATATTTCAAGTGTTCATTCCTTTTAATTTTGATGATTATAACTGACAACTAATGAAAACCCCAAAATCAGTATCTCAGAAATTTTGAATATTGTGAAAAGGTTCAATATTGAAGACACCTGGTGCCACACTCTAATCAGCTAATTAACTCAAAACACCTGCAAAGGCCTTTAAATGGTCTCTCAGTCTAGTTCTGTAGGCTACACAATCATGGGGAAGACTGCTGACTTGACAGCTGTCCAAAAGACGACCATTGACACCTTGCACAAGGAGGGCAAGACACAAAAGGTCATTGCTAAAGAGGCTGGCTGTTCACAGAGCTCTGTGTCCAAGCACATTAATAGAGAGGCGAAGGGAAGGAAAAGATGTGGTAGAAAAAAGTGTACAAGCAATAGGGATAACTGCACCCTGGAGAGGATTGTGAAACAAAACCCATTCAAAAATGTGGGGGAGATTCACAAAGAGTGTACTGCAGCTGGAGTCAGTGCTTCAAGAACCACCACGCACAGACGTATGCAAGACATGGGTTTCAGCTGTCGCATTCCTTGTGTCAAGCCACTCTTGAACAAGACACAGCGTCAGAAGCATCTCGCCTGGGCTAAAGACAAAAAGGACTGGACTGCTGCTGAGTGGTCCAACTATGGAGCCCCAACTAAGTATTGAGTGCTGTACATGCTCATACTTTTCATGTTCATAAGTTTCAGTTGGCCAACATTTCTCATAATCCTTTTTTTGTATTGGTCTCAAGTAATATTCTAATTTTCGGAGATACTGAATTTGGGATTTTCATTAGTTGTCAGTTTTAATCATCACAATTAAATGAAATAAACATTTGAAATATATCAGTCTGTGTGTAATGAATGAATATAATATCCAAGTTTCACTTTTTGAATGGAATTACTGAAATAAATAAACCTTTTGATGATATTCTAATTATATGACCAGCACCTGTATAAGACCATACCATATATCAAACATGTATGTCATGCTCAGCTTGTTGTGCCCCCCCGAAGCACAAAATAAACAGATTATACAGCTTTAAGACAATGTCCTATGCTGATAGTCCCAGATTTAAGTATTTACATATCCTACCAATCACAATCTGTATATTCAACACTGCATGGAATTGACAACAATGTTTTTCCTTGTATAGAATCTGAAAAACAAACACACTGCAACCCTTCCCATCACACAAAGTCTACACATAGTAGCATTTAGTATTTGAAAATGCTTTTTCATGCTTATTGTCCCTCTCTTATTTTTCTCAGGTATGGAAAACACAGCGCCTTCTACAGATTCAGGTCCAGCACAGGACGAGTCCTGCCTCTGTTTTATGTCTATGACTCCTACCTGACACCACCAGAATCCTGGGCGGAGCTTCTGACAACTAAAGGCTCCCATAGCATCAGAGGCACACCTTATGACGGCGTTTTTGTCGCCCTCATTGTTGAGGAGCGCCACAAACATGACATCCAAGCTAGCGGCTTTGATGGCATATACACCTATTTTGCCTCCAACGGCTTCTCCTTTGGCTCATCCCACCAGAACTGGAAACCCATCAAGGCCTTCTGCGATGCAAACAATCTGCTATTTATCCCCAGTGTTGGTCCAGGCTACGTGGACACAGCTGTTCGGCCCTGGAACAACCATAACACCAGGAACCGGGTTAACGGACGTTACTACGAGACATCCTTGCAGGCAGCTTTGTCTGTCAGACCAGAAATCGTCACCATTACTTCTTTTAATCAGTGGCATGAAGGTACGCAGATAGAGAAGGCTGTACCCAAGAAAACAGTGACCCGTTTGTACCTAGACTACCTACCAAACAAACCGGACCACTACTTAGAGCTTACGCGCCAGTGGGCAGAGAACTTCAACAAGGAGAAGGACAAGTGGCTAATGTGAACATGGCTTCACTTTGCTGGTAGATGCTCTGAGTATGACCAGAAATTACATTAAGTCAACTCCCACTGTTAAAAGACAACACCTTTTATATTCATCAACCTACTAGTTGTTTTTCTCCAACTCTGAGCACTTCTGATGAGATTTTCCCTAAATGTTCACTCTACCCTTACTGTTTTTAATCACTAACATTTTTTGTACAGGTTAATAATGTCACTGATATTTTGAAGCTACAAGGTCATAAAGATGGACAGATAGTCGTCGTAACAACTCTGTTCAGTATCCATTTGTAACATCAAGAAAGTGTGGCTATGTACAGTAACTCTGCTCTGTAGGGTATTTTCTTATTTTCTTATGATGATGATAAGACTGTTGTTTCCTGTGTTTCTTTGAAGCCAAATTAAAATGTGTGTCTGTTTGATGTTGGTGAATCAGTGATGGTACTGCACAAGTAAACTAACATCATAGAGGTTAGAAATAATAAAAGAGGTCTGCCCAGTGCCCTGGGTTGTTGAAATGTGGTGAGTCTAGATTTGAAGCTGCGTTTGTGAATGGTGAAATAATCAGTATGCGCCGAATACAAAGATGAGTCAGAAGTAAAAGCGGCTGAAAGCTGTTCCAGCTGGTCTAAATTAGGTGTGTTGAATTTCAATAGTTTAGGTTCCTTTGTTTGTTTTTTTTCTATTTGGTTCATTTCAGTGGCTTAAAACAAAGCAACATTACAGTTACTGAAGCTGAGATCTGACAGGGCAACAGCCATATGTTAAAACAGGTAAACAATCCAATACTTTAGCCTGATGAACTAAACAACTTTATTTGGAGATAAAAACCAAAACTGCGGACACCCAAAATGGCAATAATAATTATTGACTGTGTGGACACACAACTACAGCAAGTCTGGTAGGTAAAAGCTGGAAGTCAACCTGTAAATTGGGGGCCCAAATTTTACAGTTTGCCTATGTTTTAAATAAGTTTGGCTAACCTTGGGGTTTGTTTAAACCGTGACTGATCGCTCACGATTTATGTATCCAGGTTCATTTACAGGAAGGACAAGAAAATTGGTGGGGACAGTGGTTGCAGACAGAGGGATGAGAGTGGTCAAGGGGTGGCATGAAATGGGGCTCGAGCGCAACAGAATGAAAGGAGGGTCAAATGGGGATTGATGAAGGACCAGGTGGGGTCAATCCAAGAAATCCAGGGACTGAGACTCAGTTGGGGGCCTGTGGTTCCTGTAATAAAAGAGGAGGAAGCGAGGAGGTTGTGTGACCCGAGACGAATATGAGAGAAAGGGTTTCGACACACCTACTGTATGTTGGTGGGCACAGGAAAGTGAATTACAGCAAGGCTTGGTGTCTATAAGAAATACTTGATAATAAGCTAAACATACAGTAGCAATGGGCTTGACTATGCTGGTTTCTGTAATTTAGAAATGGTGGTGTTCATGTTAATCAAAAACACACAAAGTACTTGAATGTTAACTTCAACTCAGACTGGTTTGTTATTTCTTGATTTTGTTAGCTAGGCTGTCCAAGGAATCCTGTTACTAATAAAACCTTGTGTTGATTTGAATTGTGTTCCTAGTTCTGCAAGTGAACACATCAGCTAGGTGAACCAACCAGTGTTCAAGTAGTCTGGCTTCAGCCCTTAGATGAATGAGAACTCACTGGAGCAAAGCTAATCCCTCAGGACACTCTAATGCCAAGCTCTAATGGCTCTGGCCACAAAAGCCTATTCACAGAATTTAGACCCTTGCAAGAGACTAAAATGGCCTCCCTAAAACCCACGATAATGAAATAGTAGGACTAAGTGCTATTGATGCTAAATGTTTGTGCCTCAACTACAGCTACTACCTGTTGCTCCTACTGGTTTATGACAAATACCTGCAAAACTAGCATTCCAGTCATCCTCAGCTAATGTTTAGTGCTAATTAGTGAATGTTAGCATGTCCTAACATACTAAACTAAGATGGTGAAAATGGTAAGCATCAGCATGTTGATGTTAGCACTTAGCTCAAAGCAACAGGGCCACTAGCATAGCTTTAGATTTGTGAAGCAGTTGCGTTGAACATTAGGTTTAGATTTTTATGGTCACATGACCTCTAGACACAGGGAAGCTCAAGAGCTAGTTTATGAACCCCGAGTTAAGATTATGTTTTCAAAATCATTGCTTATAAGTTTAAAATAAACTTTAATGCTCAAGCTAAGATCATCCAGCTGCAACAGTAACATAGGGAAAACTGAGCAGACAGTGTTGGGCTGCGTAGTGGAGAAAATACTTGATACGTCTCAGTATCTGACAAGATATGACAATATGGCTGCTGCATTCACTGCTTAACAAGTAAGGTTATGTCATCCCAACTTTAGTAGAGTAATGAGAGATTAATAAAGCATTATTTTTTTCAGTAACTTCCCCAACACTGCATACTGATCCCTTTTTACCCTGCCAGCAGGAGGGCCTACCCTACGGATTCACAGAACTACTGTCCTACTTTGTAATAAATCTTGTGTGGGTATTCATGGTGCCCAGATGATGGATCCTAATGTTTTTGATGGCCCCCTGTTCTTTCCTCTTGTGCCACTTTCAGGCCAGAATGTCAAAATTTCACGCAAGAAATGTCTAATCTAATGGGCAGATTGTTGTTGAGAACATTCAACCATTTCCACTGGTGCCACCATAAGCCAAAATGTGGTAGACAGTGGTATATCACGCTACTGTACTGACACTTACTGAAAGCATTCATGCATACAGTACATTGACCCACAAGTAAAAAGGGGCATTTTACTATTTTTAGTTCAGCTCAAACTTGTGAAAGAAACCTCCTTACTGTGAAAGACACAACAAAAGCAGATTCAAAAGCCTTTAAAATCTTGATTAGCAGGAGCCATAATACCTGAGTGTTTTGTCCAACGTTATTCTGAAGTCTTTTCTATCCCATATGCTTACTACACAAGGAAACTAACAAGGTCATTAGTCAAATCTAACAATTAATAGCACATTTAATTCTCTGATTCTCTGTTTCCCTGACCTTTCCTGAAATAGGATATATGAGGTACTTATTATTACCATAGTCTCACTCTTACCCGCTGCAGTGTTATAATGAAATATGGCAATTGTGTTCACATGAGGAAAAGAGTACGACACAAGTTTTTTTATAAGGATTCATATGTTTCAAGCAGGAAAACATCAGATAATAATAGACCTTCCAACACCAATTAAACATCTGCTACAAGACAGGTCATTAATCAGAGGAATCCTCTATCCACCATGTCCTCATGGAAACAGCTATTCCAGGCTGTGTGTGTGTGTGTGTGGCAAGACAACAGGTTGGATTTCTAGCTTCTGACAAGATTTAATGTTACAGCATGTAACATTATACTGCTTTCCACACAACTCGGAACTCGAAAATGTCCGACCTCCTACTAGAAAAAGTGCAATGGAAAGTCATTCAAAGTCGGAGTTCCTACGTGTAAACTCAAGGAAATCCATCGAAGAAGCAGCTGTCTGACATCACACAACAATGGCAGCAGCAATGAAAGCATACATAGTAAATGGTAAACCATCAACTAAAAGGCAACATAAAGTACATCTGCCTGTATTAAATACATACTATCATTTACACTGGGGATGCTGGGAACATGTCCCCACCCCATTTTGAAAGGGCTGATTTTGTGCCCATCACTTTTTGAAAGCATTTGTTAAAAATGTTCTGAAAATAGCTGGCACCAAAAAAAAATGACAATGACAAACTGACAAATGAAAATGGTGTAAGAAAGGTATATTTATTTGCACAATAAGAAAACATGCAATGCAATTTGAAAATATAGAAGAAAGAAATGTACATGCGTATCGTCACGCTCCAAATCTGAGCCCTTATGTCCCCACCACTTTTCAACACAAAGTGATGCCCTTGACGGTCAGCCATGTTTTTTGTTTACGTTTGGCCTCTTGCACCTGCAACTTTTACTTAACAGGCTCTACTCTGCTTCTGATTGGCTAACCCTAACCCCACCCTAACCCTAACCTAAAACAACTTAACCAATGGAGGCAACGAGTACTAGCTATTCAGCGGCAGAGTTGTCGAAAATCTGGTGGGGCACCTGGAACGCTTGGAGGTCGGACGTTTCCACTGGGAAATTCTGCAGCTCTAGATCCTGTCCATGTAGTGATACCTTTGTCAAACTAACCAGTTTTTCCAAACAATTTGTCTCTGTTGCAAAGGAAATCTTGGTTTTCGTACAAATGCAGATGGCTTCAAACTCGGCATGACGAGAATATTTTGATGCGACTCCTGGTGTATCTGCCATTGCTAGCGCATGCAGAGCAGCTGAGCGCTATTGTGTTGAATCAAGTGCGCATGTGTGAGAGTTTCACAAATGTACTGTTAGCATCAACAGATGCACCTGTTAAATCTGCTCTGCTCTGTCCAAAGGCCCGACGTGTTTAAAACATGTTTTGTCTGGTTGGGCTAACAGCAGCTCCATCTCTTCCTAAAGGTCAATGTTTTATTTTCTTAAATGCTGTGAGAAAGAATATCTTCAGCGCATGTTCATTTTTTTAATGTTTGTATCTCACCAGCCTAGATTCATCATCACTGAATATTGCCCCAGTGGAAGCACAAAAAGATACTGTCCTCTGTGAAAGTATGAGTTTCTGTGACACTGTTTTAACCACAGATCATCAGTCATTATCAATATAGAGCTCTCTTCCCACTTCTCTCATATGTATGTAGTGTTTTACTGTTTGTGTTTTACAGCTCTACCCGTCGCTGTGCCTTCTGACAGGCAGCCAGCCGCCAGATGAGCTGAGGCACAGCGACCGATCAACAGAGGACACGTCCAAGCAGCTGACAGAGGCGCTCCATCAGAAAGCTGGCCTGCCTGCTGAGTGTGCAGAACAGCAGGGATGCTGAGGCACATTATATGATGCTGCTCCACTTGGTGGATACTCAGATGCTAATGCCGGCTGTGGTAGCGTCACACTACCTGGCCATGTGCCTGGCCCATGTGTATCAGCTCCTCACTCTGCTGCTAAAGGGGACCTTTGCAGAGGCACTGAGGTCGGATCAGGTCTGGCATCGTGTCTGCCTATGCTCTAATGAATGAGAACTAGGTAATCCAGAGCTGCGGTGTGATCACTCCCTTTACATTTACATCTACCTTTAGGGCATTTAGCTTACTTATAATAAGCACACTTGAGAAAGTGAAAAAGTAATAGATTGCTGTCGGTAGAGTAAACCCTCATAATTGCTAGGTTAGCCAATTGCTGACAGACAGCAAAGAAATAGGCCGGGAGCTCGTTCCACCACTGCGGCACCAGAACAGAGAAGGGGTGGGTTCACATGGGTAGATATCCTTTATCCTACTTTATCCTATGTATATATTTTATTTCATTTGCACAGTTAGTATTCCAAATAAATACAAAAAGATTAAAAAGTACAGTAATACTGCGGTAAGTATTTGGATTCCTGTGAGAGGCAGCTAACCCACCTCCCCCAAACCAACACATTCTCACCTGCAACTTGGATGCTTGGTCAAGACCCCTTGGTGTCACTTTTTAATGCCCTGGGGTCAAGTTGGCAATAATAAATATGGAACGTCTGGTCAAGTTATCAAGACTAAATATGTGACCTTTAATTAGACTTTCAAAATAAAACTTGTTGTGAAATGGCATGTGGTTGAAGTTGAGAAGATCACAGTTTGGTTAGATTTGGGCACCAAAACTACTTGGTTAGGTTTCTGGCCTGTCCATACACCCCAACCACCTCCTTACTTGGACCTTTCTGTTATTCACACTAGTGCTGTGTCTCAGTTAGCGCCCTTCCACACTTCCACTTGCTATTTTGAGTGCATAAGAGCTTTCACACTGAGAAATATAGCAAAATGCAGTGCACCATGAGTACCCAGCTGGAGCACTCACAACAGTCAAAAAGTTGAGTGTGGAGCGCTGGACACTTCTCACCTTCATTGGTCGCCATCTTGGCTACGTAGCGGAAGGGGAGGGACCACCATTGTATTTTCAAACTAGTTAAAATGGCAACAGATGAAGCAGCAGCGGTTGCGATCATGTACATTCATTTTTTATTCATTTGTAATGAAACTGAATTTAAGTCATGTATGAAAACAAGCCGGTGGATATTTTGTTGGTGTTGTATTTTAGTGCATTAGCATGAAATGTGTTTCTGTTTTGTCCAGCCCCTTTACATACTACATGTTGGGATTACATTTGATTGTACAGGCGTACCCAATAAAGTGGCCAGTGGGTGTATTTTGCAGTTTTATGTGCACTGTCTCAACATCAAATCAAGAAGTGAACATTTCTAACAGAGCACACTGTTTGTTTTACTCTGATGAAATCAAATATAAGACGTTTTACAGGACATGCGTGTTTATTAATATGTATCATATCATACTCAAATCTCAACAAGACAATAATAGGAGAAAACCTATTAGGGTAACCTATAAAACAAGCTAACCTAAGGGATTCAACAGCAGGCAATTTCTCAAAGAATAATCTGCATTTGCCTTGGCATTACAGATTTCAGTGTTTATGCAATGAATGACTTTTCAAAC